AAAGGCACAGACCAGGACTGTACCAGCAGGGACCAGTTACGTGGTCTGAAAGAGAAACTCTGCTTCCACAGTCTGTATTATTCCATAGATGTGTATTTAAGGTGCCAAGAAAGAAGATTTTTTTATTAAAGCATCACAGTGGGTGAGGGTTTGGATGAAATAAGCATTGTGTGGTTGGTGCTGGCACCTGGCAAGGGATGGAAAGAAGGGGATGCTGCTCCAATGGCGCTGTATTTGGGGTCTCCTGAGCTGTTTCCAAAAGAGCTGTGAGGTTCTTAACCTTTTAAACAGCCCCAACAGCTCTGTGCTCTCAGCTTACTCTGGAAAGGAAATCCTTAGTGTTCCCATCAGCCACTGGAGAGCCTCATGTCAAACAAGGATCAAGCATTGCATGCCTTCCAAAGCTTTCATGTTTCTCAGCTGCTTTCCAGTATTTCCTTTGAATTTCCCATATTTCTTGTGCCTTTGCTCCGAGCCCAGCAGACTTCCCTCTCTCTGTTAACCCTGCTGTTCCAACACCACCTCTGCAGAGCAGTGCTCAGAGCCAAGCTCCTGGAGGTGACACTGATTTTGGTGACCCAGAATAACAAACCTGTGTCAGGCTTTACTCCCAGGCAAGGGGAATCAGGCAGAACTCAGCAAGGCACAGGGTGACATCTCTTCACAGAACTACCAAGAGGCAAAAGGCAAAATGCATACAGGAACAAACAGCACAGAAAGAGAAGTTATTTACATAGGCTGTTCTTTAGTCACGCAGGGCCTGTCTAGCACTCTATAAGAGAGCTGAATTCTGGGTTAATTTGCAATACTTTTGGTTTGCTTGTGAGGTTGTGGAGATGTGCTGCTGTCACAATGTGCTGTGTTTGTCTCAGAGAATGTGCCTTGGAGGGTCCCAGAATGACTGCACAGAAATGAGAAGGAGTATTTGTGATAAAAATGAGACCTGAATGGTGTTAGATCTTCCTGAGTGGCCTTCCAGATCCTGAAGGAATCCCACACAAAAGATGGAGGGGGAGTTTTTACAAGAACATGTAGTAACAGGACAAAGGAGAATTCTTCACACTGACAGAGAGAAGGTTTAGATTAGATATCAGGAAAAACTTCCCTGTGAGGGTGGTGGGGCCCTGGCACAGAGAAGCTGTGGCTGCCCCAGCCCTGGAAGTGCCCAAGGCCAGGCTGGACAGGGTTTGGAGCAGCCTGGGATGGTGGAAGGTGTCCCTGCTCATGGCAGGGGGTGGAACTGGGTGAGCTTTAAGGTCCCTTTCAGCCCAAACCATTCTGTGTTTCCATGATTCTATAATAGGCTGGAATATGGCAAATATTTTATGAGCCAAAATGCAGAGACCCCCATAGACAGAGCATGTCAACACACTGCAGGTGATAAACTCCAAAAGATGCATTTAAAGAGCATCAGCGGGATCAACTGTTGAGCTGGAAACTTTGGGGGTTAAATATTACTGATGTGATGGGTATATTTTGTATTTCTCTTATGCAAAGCAGAAATTCAGCTCTTAGCTGCTGGTGGATCAGAGGGTGGCAGACCCCTCTGCCTCACTAAACAAATCAAACCAAGACTGGAGCATGTATTTCAAAAGCTGCAGAAGCAGAGAAGGCGGGGCAGGGAGGCACCGCGGCATTGTCTCGGAAGGTGAATGTAGCAGAGCCATTAGCACACTGTTCATCTGCAGTCCCACGGGGAAAGGAACCCAACCTCAGCCTGCTGGTCTCCAGTTTCATCTCTGCCATCTCGCTGGGTGACCTTGGGCAGCACATTTCATCTCAGAAACACATTTGCACATCACGTTTGCACCAGAAAACAAACGGGACTGAGAGTGGCACGGGCAAGGCAAAGCCCAAAGGGATCCGCGGGATGTGGGGCAACCTCCTGGCACAAGGGGGTCTGTGAGTGCTGTGGGGTTGGGTACTGCTGGTCTGGTTTCAGTCAAGAAAGCCTCAGTGTTTCAACTTTTCCTGGCTGTCAGAACAGCAGCTCCAGCTTTTGCTCAGCTCTGGTGAAACAGGGCGAGATGAAGTGTTAAAAGGTGTCGTTAGAGAGGTGTGGCGGTGCAGAGGTGAGCTCCAGCCCAGAACAGTGCAGAGGAGTAGGATGCTGTGTCTATCCCAGCACTGCAGGCTGTGTGGGGAGCCTCTTCCTCTCAGCTCCACTGTGAACCTGGACTGCAGCCCATGTTTAGAGAGTGGAATACACCTCCACGCTGCTTAAATGAGGCTCTAAAAGGCAGGTGAACTTTACTGCTGAATTTTTAAAGCAAGCCTTTAATGTTTAACAGTGCTGATTTTCTAAGGGTTGTTGAACACGTGTGGCAGAGGGCAGAGCAGCTCCCAGAGTGACACTGCAGAAAGGGCTGGGCTGGAGGTGTGAAGCTGCCTTTTCCTTTTCCTTTTCCTTTCCCTCAGGGATCCTTCCCCTCCTCAGGGCCGAGTTACCCCAGCACCTCCATCACAAACCACTGCATTTTCTGGCCTCGCTGACTGCAGTTTTGCCACAAACCTCCTTTGCAACTTCTTTCAGTGCTTTCCCAATAAGGTAAACAGGAATAACAATACCATGAACAATCCCGAACAAGCTTTTTCCTGCATGTGACGTGCCAATGCACTTGAATTGCTGTTGAATTTTTTTAATTTTTGCCACCAGATGAGGCATAAAAGTTGAGGCAGAAGCAGAATTTGAAGGGAAATGCCCTTGTAATGGGGGAAGTAGAGGCTGAATGCTATCTCCAAACCAGATGTCCTTCCTGGAAGACATTCTCCTTTCTAACTGCAGGAGTTCCTGGGCTGGGCTGCTGAGAGGTGAGAACTTCTTTCTGAGGAGCTTCCATGAGAAAAAATGGAGGGTCAGTGCCAGCCTTTGAGGCAAACACTCAGTCCTGGTAGGTGGAAGGACAGTCAGGCCCTTGGGAATGCCCTGGAGAGTTGGCCCAGTGTCAGGGGAAAAGGCAGCCCACTGACACTGGAAAATGCCAAGGTGACCTTCTGGCAGGAGCAGAAAACAAGTGTTGGAAAATAGGAATTACAGTCAGGGCTGCACAACACAGAAAAAGATGGATTAGGACTCACCAAAATCTCATCCAGCTTTTATGACCTGAACAAAAGGGAAACAACCACAATTAAGGCACAAAGTAGTTACAGGCTGGTGTAAATTCTGCAGCAAGAAGAGGGAAATAGTGCTTTATTCTTTCTTCTGTTTTCTCTGAGGAAATTTAGCAATAAATGAGGAACAGGAGAGACATACATTTCTTTAAAAAAGAAAGTTGCACTGTGATGGGAAATTCAGAATATTTATTTATAAATAAATACATTTTGTTTTTATTCTGAATATATATTTATAAAGTAGAGGTTGCAGGCCTTGAGTAACTTTGTGGCTTTTGATGCCAAGTTGTGCTGCAAAGGTCTTTAGGAAAAGTGCTCTGGCTGCACAGGCTGCAGCCCTGGGAGCTCTGACATTTGATGGTCAATGGTTGTTTTTGAGCAGTGTCAGGCTGGTCTCCTCAGTCTGAGATAGCAGAACATTTCAGGAAATATTGCTGATCAGAAATAGCACTGCAGCTTCCTGAAATGCCTGCCCAGATAACGGGACAGTCCACAGCTGGAAGTGATAAGGAGGCAGGAAAAGACAAAGCAGCAGTAAATGTGATGTTACTTCAATACCAGCAGGCACAGGGGCAGCTGGTCCGTAGGAAGAACCTGAAAGGAGGCTCTGAAGGTGCAAAACATTCCCCAGCTGGTTTCTCACACCCCTCTCCTCCACCACTCTTGGTGCCACATGCCTCTCTTGCCCCAGGACCAGCTGCCCAGCCACTCTCTGACACCCCAAAGTCGGGCAGTGTTGGCATCATTTCCTCCACAGAGCCCCGGCCCCAAGGACTGTCACTGAACGGTGACAATTCCCCAGCACATGGCCTGACAAACGGGGGCCACTCACCCTGAGCTGCAAAGCCCCCAAGATTCACCAAACACTGCTCAGGTTTTCAGAGCTGGTGGCAGAGGGGGAAGCTGAGAGGCGAGGATGCCTCCCAGTGTCCTTCTCAGTGTCACTTGTCTGGGTGATCCCCTTGCACCTCATCAGAGAGCACAGTTTGGGGAATATTTGCTCAAGGAGTGGATTCACAGGTGTGTAACAAGTCACGTAATAAATCAAATAATACACTGCAGTGATAGAGTAAAGGGCTGAGGTGAGCAGGTCCCTTTGCCCTGATCTACCCTGGGATGAGCAGGATTAGATTGTGTTTGGGAGTTGTGGCTCTGCCTCCTCCTGCCCTGACCCAAGAAGGTTCCTCTTCCTCAAGGGCAGGCGCCAGTTTGGTGGAGAATCATAGAAACATGGAATATCCTGAACTGAAAAGCTCCCATCAGGATCATCCAGTCCAACACAGCCCTGCACAGGACACTCCAACAATCCCACCCCGTGCCTGAGGGCGTTGTCCAAGCACCCCTGGAGCTCTGGCTCTTGTTGCCGTGACCCCTCCGTGGGATGGGGTGAGCCCATCTCCACACACAGCCAGCCTTATTCTCCGTTTCGGCCCACGAGACCCCACCTGGAGACGCGCCCGGGTCTGGAGTCCTCAGCACAGGAAGGACACGGAGCTGCGAGTCCAGAGGAGGCAGCAAGCTGATCAGAGGGATGGAGCAGCTCTGCTGTGAGGACAGCCTGAGAGAGCTGGGGCTGTTCACCTGGAGAAGGCTCCGCGGAGACTTTGGAGCCTCTTCCAGCCCTAAAGGGGATCCAGGAGATCTGGAGAGGGACTTGGGACAGGGGATGGAATGACAGGCCACGGGGGAACGGCTTCCCACTGCCAGAGGGCAGCGTCTGGTGGGACGCTGGGCAGCGATGTCCCCCTCACGGCCGGGACCCACCCGGCCCTCAGCGAGATGGCGGCGGGGGGCGCGGGGGGGCCGCACGTGCGGGGGGCGGGGCCTGCCCGCGCCCCCGCAGCACAATGGACAGCGCCCTGCGGGGGCGGGGCCGCGCGGGGGCGGGGCCGGCAGAGGGGCGGGGCCGCCGCAGCCGCGGGAGCCGCCGAGAGCGGGATGGGTCCGGCCGGGCTGCGCCGCGCCCGCGGTGAGGGGGAGCGGGACGGGCGGGAGGGGAGCCGGGGAATGGGCTCGGGAATATCGTGTGGGGTACGGGAGGCGGCTGCGGTGGGCAGCGCTCTCCGGGAGTCCCTCGGGGCCGCCGTGTGAGGGAGGGGCGAGAGGGGGGTGGGTGGGTGTGAGGCTTTTCCTGTCTCGCGTGCCCGGGCGCGTCGTGCGGCGGCGGAGCGGGGGCGGTGGGTGGGTGTGGGGGCGCCGGGAGCCGCTGTCCTCCGGACACGGGAAGCCGAGAAGGGAATTTTAGTCATAATCCTGTGGGATCAGGGAAGGAGCCGGTGAAGACTGGGGTGGGCTCGGGGCGCTGTAGGATCCCTTGGAGTGGAAGGGCAGCGCGCAGCGGCGCTGAAGTTGCCGGGTTTGTGCCGTGCCGGGGGCAGTGCGCGGGCGGGGCTCGCTCCCGCCGGCCGAGCCGTGGAGGCGGCTGCGAGCGCGACCCCGGCTCCAGCCCGAGCGGCTCCGGAGAGCCGGGCACGCCGAGCTCCCCGGGGCTCGGGGTTCAACAGATCCACCCTGAAACTCGCCCTGAAGTATTTATAAACACAAAGGGTGACCCTCATCAATGGCTGTTAGTGCACTGATGGATTTAACAGGTTGCCCGGAGAAGATGTTGCTGCTCCGTCTCTGGAAGTGCCCAAGGCCAGGCTGGACGGGGCTTGGAGCAACCTGGGCTGGTGGGGCTAGAGCTAGCCCTTGGCAGAGGCTAGAACGAGATGGGCTTTAAGGTCCCTTCCAAACCATTGTGTGATTCCGTGTTTTCAAGTCAGCTTCAAGGTGAACCAAGTATATTCTCTGGGTCACTTGGCTGAGCTTCTCCAAGCCGTAAAATTGGTCTGTCGATGGTGAGAAGGTGCTTGTGTTGATGGCACCACTTATCTGGTGGGGCTGATGACAGCCAGCCTCTGTTCAAGGAAAATACAGCTGCAGACTTCACTCAAGGCAGACTGAAACAGTTTGCTGGTGCCTTGTTGTACTGTTGAGTAAGCTGTTGCCTGGCTCTGCTCTTGATTTACGTGTTAAACTGAAACATGGGGTCCTTGGCAGAAGAAGGATGTGAACTTGTTGAAGTGGGTCCAGAGGAGCCCATGGAGATGCCCCCAGGGCTGGAGCCCCTCTGCTCTGGAGCCAGGCTGGCAGAGCTGGGGGTGCTCCCCTGGAGAGGAGAAGGCTCCAGGGACACCTCAGAGCCCCTTGCAGGGCCTAAAGGGGCTCCAGGAGAGCTGGAGAGGGACTGGGGACAAGGCATGGAGGGTGATGAGGCCCTTGCACAGGGTGCCCAGAGGAGCTGTGGCTGACCCATCCCTGGAAATGTTCAGGTGGGATGGGGCTTGGAGCAGCCTGGGATAGTGGAATGTGTCCCTGTCCGATGCATGGGGGGGAAACAGGATAGGCTTTAAGGTCCCTTCCAACCCAGACCATTCCAGGATTCTGTGTCTCCTACTCTTAAATTGTCTTTGAGAATTGAAATATTTCCTACACTGGATGGATAAATGGATGTGGGATGACTTCCTGTGGAGTAGTAAGGTGAAGAATGAGGGGTTTACTTCAGGAATGCTTATCTCCTGCTGCAGGCTGGCAAATATCAGGGAGTTAATGTATTGCTGTGCATAAAAGTTCCATGGTGATTCTTTGGTGAGAAAAGTACTTTATGAGATGGATGTGTGGAAATATTTGGCATGGAGCTTGTCGTGATACGCACATGGAAGAGGAACAGCTCTGAGAGCAGAGTGCTGGACACTGTTCCGTTTCCTTCTTCCCCTCAGCCAAAAAGACTTCTTTATTGTGTGATCAGGAATGTATAAATGTTGTTGTTTGGGTGCTTGTGTTGCTTGTCTTTGGTTTTGATCCTCGCCAGGACTCCAGGTACCTCTGGAGCCGTGCCCAGGCTCCACCTCAGCACAGTGACCTGCACCCTCCATGCTGCTTCCCCTGCTCCAGAGGTGTTTCAAGGGCAAGATTAAGCCCTGCCTGAGCAGATGTCTGCTTCTAAAAAATGGTAAAGGTTTATTCTGGCACCATTCTGCTTTGAGCCTGCCTTACATCAAGCTTCAAGAGACTTGTTCTTCAGTTCTCAGGTGAAAAAGCTCTAATAAATATCCTACAGCTTGGTGCTGTGTTGTTATTCTGTGTGTAAAGCATCAATTACAATATCCCTAAGTGAAAGGGGCCCCAGGCAGAGGAAATGTCACACACCTTTCTCTAGAAGGCAGGAGGAAAGAATGCAGCCCTGTGGAGTCCCCCTTTTCTAACTGGAAATATCAGCTTAGCTGGGTGCCACAGCTGGCTTTCACGTGGTGTAATGGTATTTGAGGAAGTCAAGAATCCTGCTATTTTCAGCAGTTCTTCGTCAAAAACAAAACAAAAAAACCTGCTCAGTTCTCTTCAAGATGAAAAGCAGCCACCACAGGTGGGAGAAGTTAATAAAGTCACTTGCTGCCAGTTCCACATCCAACAGGCAGCTCCAGAGTGGAAGGAGCTGAGTGAGTGCTGGGGTGGGGGGTTTGATTCAGGGATTTCTGTGTATTTAATCTATACAGTCAGTTTCTGATTTCCAGCCATCTGGCTGTATTCTGTCGAGTAAGCTGCTCCTACAAATAATAGAATAGAAGTCAAACATATGGAAAATCCCTAAGGTGTGCAGTGGGTGATTCTGGATGAGAAGGAAACACAGCCACTGTCACTGCCTGTCCCTTTGTGTAGTGATGTGTGTTCCTCATGGGAGCCCTCACGGGCTCCTGTGCTGGGGGAGCTTTGCACACTGGGGGTGCACCACTGCTTCTTCAGAATCCATTTCTCTGCAATGCTCCCAGAATTGCAGCAAGTGCCCTCAGGGGTCCATATCCCTCCTCTTCCCACCTCCTCCCCTGGAGCACCCAGCAGGTGGATCTCGAGCTTGTAATGAGCTCTCTCTGCTTGGTTCACAGAGGAGTTGCTGTGTGGGCTGGAGCAAAAGGGGTGCCCAGGGAGCTGAGGCTCTCAGGGCTCACTGTTGTTGGCACAGTGTGTCACAGGATGCTTTGTGAAATGTGGTGGCTGCTGCTGTTTTCTGTGTTCAGCTATGCAAGAATTTAAATACTTTTAATATCCACTTGGGATGGTCAGGGTCGCTATTATTGGCATGGTTGTTAGTAGCCAGATTTGTTGCTTCAATGCATTGATGACTCCAACCTCTGAGCTTTTATCAACTCCTCTGGGCTTGGCCAGCTGGTATTGAGCCTTTTTCCTGGTGTTTCCCCATGGATGCTCCAGGTGTGCCTCCACCTGTGGATTGGGGTTTCTCAGTGGTCCTGCTGCAGTTCAGTGGGTCACTGCTCTTCCCCCGAGTTGTCTTCCATAATATGTTTTTTTAGCCAGATGCAAATAGGAAGTTCAGCAGGGATCCTGGGCCACTGTAGAACTGGAAGGATGTTTGAGGAGCAGACATACTCTCTGGCTGGGTGATTTCTTTCTGGTTTATACCTGTTTATAATTTGAGGGGAACATGAGAAGAATTTAAAAACACATCTGTCTTTGGTGCTAAAGCCCTGGGAAGATGCACATCATGAGTTAATATGGCCCAGATGCCCAATGGTAACACCTGGGACTCTTTGTCCTCATCAGTACTAATCATCTTCAGCCTGGTGTTCCAAGTAGCCACCTTTCATTGCGTTTTCTGATCTTTTTTTTCCTTTTTTTCCAGGACTTACAGCAGAAGACCCTGTTGCTTTGAGAAGCACAATGACCATCTCACAGCTCTGTTTGCAGGAGAGGGCATAGAAGGTCTGCTGCCACTGCACTCTGCCGAGGTATGAAAGATTTCTAGGGCAGGTGTGAGTTATCAGCTGTCATTCTTCCACAGCTTCCTGTGGATGTAATAGTCACTGGCTCTTTTCTCCAGCCTTCCCTCAGCTGGAGGAGCACAGAGGCAATAAACCTGTGCCAGTCGGGTCCAGCAGCTGCTGGGAACAGTGGCTCTGTCCAGGCAGCACAGTTAAGGCTGCTGAGCTACAGCTTGTGCCATCCCCTGTTCTGTGGCTGGTGCCTCTGTGGGTGATTCTAGACTGGTCTGTCTTAAGCCTTCCTGCTGTGGAGGTTTTTGACCTTCTGCAGAGGTGCAGGAATTCCTGGTGTAGGAGGTGAGGTCAGAATAAGCAAGATCCCAGCTAAATGTGCTTCTCCCACTCCATCTGCGCTCACGGGAGGGTCCCTGCCCAGCCTCATCGTGTTACAGGTCCTGTTCCAAGGTGCCCTGTGCTGTGCCTCTTGGCTCAGGTATCTGATACCTGATAGCAGCCCAGGCTTCCTGGGATGTGCTTGTCCTGCTCCTCTCGCTGCACTCTGGGTTGATGCTCTGCTGGGAGGTTCTCTGGCTTGGCATGGACTGGCTTTTAGCACCAGTGAGACTGAGAGATCCAGTGAGCCCTGACCTTTGCTGCTTGGCTAATGTAATCCTCTGCAGAGGAACTGTCTGATTGCTGGGCCCTATTTCTCCAAAAATCCCCCATTCTCAGCTACTCAAACTTTTCAAGTCCTTTTTCCCTCACCCTTGCATAGATTTTACAGTGTGATGGCATTTTGTGACAATTTTTGAGGGAGAATCTATTGCCTATTCATGTTTCACCTCCGGTTTGGGCTGAAAATGTCAGGGATAAGTTGTCTGAGTGCTCTGACTGTTGAGTTCAGCGCTACACTGCGTCACTTGCCAAGGGCTGTGTCTGCTCAGCAGTGGAATTTGAGTGGGGTGGAATGAGCACAGAGCCTCCAACCAGCCATCCAGCCTTTTGTGTCCTGATGTTCGCGGATGGTATTGGCAGGAGCAGTACAAAGGAATTCCTAAAGGAATTGCAGAAAGCAAACTAATAATGCTTTTTATAATGATTTGTGTACTTCCCTTGAGATTCTGGTTACTGGTGCATGTTTGAGGGTTAAAACCCGGGCAGGAGAGTCTGAGGGAGGAATCCTGATGAGGACAGTGAGAGGTGGCTGGGAGCAGGGAAATGCTGAGGACAGGATTGTTCCTGCTCCCTGCAGTTCTTGCCTCAGTTCAGCTGGAACAGTGGGCATCCAGGCTGTGGGATGTGATTGCCAGCTTAGCATCAGGCATGTTCTTTCAGCATGCTGCTTCCTTTTCCTTCCTTTCAGTGAGTTAAAACAACTGAATCCTACTTGGTGCACAAAAGCATTTTAAACATCAAGGTGTGGGAAGCTGTGGAAGCTTTCAATGAGAAAGATTTTGCCCCAACGATTACAGATATAATGTAGGGAGGGGGGATAGGGGGAAGAATTGCTATGTAGGCTCTGTAAGGCTCCTAAGACAGGCTCCTTCTGCAGAGTACGATTCACTCTGGCTTTACATCTCTGTGCTGTGCTTTAATTATTGTGAGTTTTGTTGGAGCTCCAAGTTGAATTTATTGCAGTAGTGCTGGCAAGCAGCACAGGATGCTGGGCACAGCTCTGGACTGGGACTGCAGAGACTTGCCTCTGTCTCTGCCACTTACTAGGCAAGGTATTCTACCTAATAAATCTCCTCTCTATTTGTAAGAAAGAGCTACAACTTCTAGTAATGTCTGTAAAAATCGCCTAGAATGTATTGCATGGCTTGGTGTGGGGGTTCTAAAATGTTCCAATTTTTCTCTATTACAGGTGTGTGGTAAAAATGGTGCAGAAATACCAGTCCCCAGTTCGAGTCTACAAATACCCTTTTGAGCTCGTCATGGCAGTGAGTAACACTCAGCACTTTCCCTGCTCCAGCTGCTGGGGGACTGTGGGTTGGGCTGGATGTCTGTGACAGTCCTACTGCAGGAACAGAGCCTCAGCTCCCCTCCTCCAATTTTCCAGGAAAAATAAGGATCAGTATCTCAGCATTAAGAATGGCAGTTTAGTTGTTAGAAGGGAAAACAAACAAACAAGAAAATCCAACCTTCTGTAATTATTCTTTGACTTTGACAAGGAAGGAAAAAAAATTGACATAGTTAGGCAGGGTCAGTTTGTGGCCAGACACCTTCTTTGCCATATCACCAAATGCTACTCAGTTCAAAATCTGTCCAGATGTTATCCCAATCAGCACTGTAGTATGGATGTATCTACAACTGCATTCAGAGTAATACTGAGCTTTTTGATTTGGTTAAAAGCTGGAAATCTTTGGAAAAAGTCTTCTGTATTGTTCTTCCCCATCCACTCTGTGGTTGAACTGTCAGGAAACCTCTCTCCAAATCTTGTGATTTCCACAAGGGACTTGAGGGCTGTCATTGAAGTTCATTCACAGGTGATGCAGAAGGCTGATGTTGACCATGGGAGCTGCTTTAGGCAGAGTTTCTTTGTGATATTCTGGACTTTGTCACAATTAGGTGTGAGTCAAATACCCTTCTCAAAGGTTTGCTGCTGCATTTCAAGGGCAGCATTTGAGTGTTGTTAGAGGAGCTTGCCTATGGAATTTTGCAAGGTTTTGTTTTGTAATCTGCTGGGCATTTCAGTCAGCTGAAGGGATCCCTAGGCTTGGTGTTGGCCACTTTTAGCCTGCTGCTTCCCCAGTTCCTGTTCCCAGTTCCTTTAGTTTATGGGAGCCTGGAATGAAGATGGAAAGCTGCAGCTGTTGCAGGCAGCTGATGTGATTTCCATGAATGGAAGGGAGAGCCTCTATTGAGTTCCTCTTGACTATGTGGCCTCTTCAAGATTTCTGAGAAATACATGCCTTGAGATTTGTTTCATCCAAAACAGCCTCCAACATTTTATATCAACCATGAAAACCGGGAGCATCAGTTTGTTCTTCATTGTGAATAGGGGACCCCAAAGGCAGCAGCAGCTGAGAGTGGCTGCTGCTCACTTTGCTCTCTGATCATCCAGATGAACACTGCTTTTGCTGACAGTTGAGCTCCGTCCCAAACCCACCCCTTTTTTCCCCAGTCTTACCCAGATTTGCCGTGTCTGTTCACAGCTAAAGCAGTGAGGTGTCCCAGAATTGCCCTGACCAGTCTGGGGCTGATGTTTGTGGCAGTGCGGCTTTCCTGGCTGTGCTCTTTGCTCTCTCAGTGCATCCTGTGTGAGAATAAGACACCAGTACCTGTGATGAGCATCCTGGGAGCCTTTGCTCTGTGCACACCTCTCCACATTCCTGTTGTGTCTATTACCAGGATAAAGCTACCACCAGATGCTCCTCAGTCGATTGGCTGCTAATTGAGGAGGGCTGCCTTGAGACAAATCCTTTGTAAGCTGTTAGCACATGCCTAAAGGCCAGGGGCTGGAAGGCTTAATTTTGCAGTGGTTTAATTTTATTTGCTTTCAGTTTTTCGGCATAACTGAACTTAAAATTCCCTGGGAATTGAGGGCTGGGGATGTAAATGTCATCCTTTGGTCGTTCAGCAAATCTTAGCAAAGTTGTTAGTCCTCTTTCTTATGAACAAGTTCCTTTTCCAGGGTCACTCAGCAGACTCTACTGTGGAGTAGGGAGCAGAATACAGACCCCCTCTCTCCCGCTGTCCTGTGAAATCCTGAGTTCCCAGCAGGATCTGCTGTTGTCAAGCAGCATTCAGCCTGGTGGTGGTCCTTCAGGCCGAGCTGGGTGCGGAGCTGGCTGCCGTGTTCAGACGGAGGCTCCGGTTTGTGTGGAGGCCGCGCGGATGGCGCGGAGCTGTCGGGTACCAGACTTTAGTGGCTGGAAGTTTTGCAGGGAAGAGTGGGTGTGCAGTGAAGCTGTTTTGCTCCTCAGCACGTGGCATTGCTGTTAATCTCCTTCACCATAAATCTGACAGCAGCTTCCTCAGCGCTGAGATTCAGCTGCTTTCATCTCTGCCCCTCAAATGCCGTGTGGGAACCCTTGGAGTGCCGAGGTCTCAGGCAGTGGTAGGAAAGCAGAGGTCACAGGGGTGACCCAAAGACACCCCCATGTTTTACAGACCCCTGGGCACCCTTCAGCCTGATACACTTGTGCTTAATTGCTCATTGGGGAGGGTCATCCCTCACAACACAGCCTGAACAGAACGCGGGAAGTAAGTTGGCAAAAGTATTTTTCGCTCAGAACCTCCAGTGTTTGGACCCTAGAAAGCAGTGGGTGTGCTTTGCTTACATACAGTTTGAGAAATAGGGCTGTCACAGCCGAATTTGGCAAGCAATTCCTTGTTGGCTCACACAGGTCCCGGGTCCCAGGAGCAGGAGTTCTCCTGCTGGGACTTGTGCAGAGGCCGTGTGTGTGCCTGAGGCTGTGCTCCAGGGATGAGCTGGGGCTTTTCCTGGAGATGCCTTTGTTACCGCGTGTTAGGGTAATTGTCTCTGGATTTACACTCTGCCTTTGCTAATGCTCCTATAGCTTGGGTCGGAGCATTTGCAGACAGATTTGATGTGTATTCCAAGTCCTTGGAAGAACATTCCCCTCCTTGCTCTCTTTGCCAGTCCTGTGCATCTGAGGAAGTAAAAGAGAATCAGCCTAACAAGTCTTTTCTTGTCATTTGGGAGTTTTGATTTATTTTCTTTTTTCTTGTCCTTCCTTCTAAAACAGATTTAAGCAAAAGGTGTTTTTTCCACACCTGTCCAAGGTCAATGTAGTCATTTCCTGCTTTGTTCCCAACTCGGATTCACATTAATGGATCAAAAGTGTTATGCTCTTCAAACACATATCCAGTGCCTGACACCTTTATACCTTATACTTGAAAAGAACCTTGACTTCTGTTAGGCTTTGTTATCTTGTCATGTTTTTCCTTTCTATTTTATCTTTTTTGTCTGTGTCCTCTTTTAAATGGAGCTGTTCCTCCAATGGATTGTCCATGCCTCTCTGGGCCTCATCTTGTCTTCCCTTCAATTAGATCAGTAGATTTGACATTGCATGTCTTCTAATTTTATCTCGCAGCCAAGAAAATTCCCAAGTATAAACTTAGTTTTCATTTTCTTTCTGTTGTAGTTGGAATGCTAAAAGGGATTTTTTAAAAATGTTATAATGAATGAAAAATCCAGAAGGGAAAGGTACCTCTGCCACATAGGAGAGATGCAAATATTTTTGAGCCTTCTGTGATGTACTGGGGAGGAGAATTTGGTTTGGGTGAGCAAGTCCAACATGCAGGAAATGGCCAAGAGAGAGACATGTTGCATATTTAATGTTATTTGCAATTAATTATTAGGTTAGATGAGATAGCTGGGGCTGGAGGGTTTCAGCTTTGAATGTGGTAGGGAGTTGTGTTCCTGTTATTTTTAGTAGTGCCTCAGCCCTTCGTGCTCACGGTTGACGTTGACCATTTTCACACACTTTAGGCGATTTATAGGATTGGGTCCCTAAAGCTACAGGTTGGGAATAACCCCCCAGAGACCTTACAGGGTCTTCTGTCTGTGCTGGATAATTTCAGTGGCTGCATTAGTGGTGCAGATGAGAAATCTCTGACAGCACTTGTCAATGATTTGCTCCTCTTGCCACAGTGCACTTCACGTTCAGCTCTCACTGCTAAGAGCAGTTTATGGTTTCTGCTGCAAGAGAGGGATCTTTCTGCACTGCTATATAAAAATAAGTCATGATTTGGGGAAAAAGAACAGAGATCAGGCACTGGGAGGTTTGCAGGAGCATCAGCTCCCATTGCCTGTGCAGTTGTATTTTGTGCTTGAGACAAAACTGCCGTGGAGCCCCACATGTGCCTGATGTGAGTCAGTGCTGCTTTCTGCTTGACCTCATTTCTTGGTGCTGCCCACGGCATGTGCTGACACATATCTGTGCAGCTGGGAGCCCGAGCTCTTGGACACACACATGGGGAGCCGTGGTGTGTGCTTCTGTGCTGCCTGAGTGCTGCTCATCAGGCCAGGGCAATTCTGCTCCTGCAGTGAGAATTTGGGTGGGGGTGGCTCCTCTGGGGTGCCTGTTTGGTGTGGGGGTGTTTCTCATCTCCAGCGTCACTCAGAGTCTCTGACAGACCTGTGGCAGCTCAGGAGCCTCCTGCCTGGCTGTGCAGGTGAAAGCTGCAACATCTGAGCTCCTGGCCTGCACCTCCAAGCAGTTCCCTGACTCTTGTGGTTTTAGTGGTGATTCAGTGTTCTTTGAATCACAGAACAGTTTGGTTTGAAGGGATCTTAAAGCCCATCCCACCCCCTACCATGGGCAGGAACACCTTCCACTATCCCAGGTGGCTCCAAGACCTGTCCAGCCTGGCCTCAGACACTGCCAGGGATCCAGGAGCAGCCACAGCTGCTCTGGGCACCCTGTGCCAGGGTGAAATCATTCCCCTTTGTCCTATCACTCTGTGCCCTCCTCCAAGTCCATCTCCAGATTTGTAGGTTTCCAATGTCCTTTACTTTTAGTTGATCTGCAGTTTTTTATTTCACAGGTAAGATGAAGTAGGAAATTAACAGTGGATGGTTCTGTTTCAGCTCAGTTTAGTTTGAGTGTTAGCGCTTCTAACAAGCTGAGTGACAAGTTTAATTCAGGCTACAAATGCTGCAAGTTTATTTAAAGTCAGAACTTGCTTCTCATGGAGTAAGCAGCAGAAAATTCCTTCTCCATCATCTCTACTCTCTCATCCTGTACACAGGGTCATACCCCTGAAAACCAAACATCCATGGTGCCAATGTGAGATGTCCTTCTCTTGTGTCTGACTCTCAGGAGCAGTCCCAGTGATTCTCACTGGATGTGGCAGTGGTCCTCACTGCTGTCCCTCAGCCTTCTCTGCAGTGTTTGTTAGCTGGCAAAGCTTTTGCTCCATTCCAGCAGCTGAGGATCTGGTCCAGGGTTACATGCGAGAGTCACCATCC